TGTTTAAAATGAATTACATTCCATGAGCTAATAAACTTATGAAACCTCTAGTAGTAATGTTTTATTAGTGTTTATTATTTATTACAGAAGTTACTGTACTTACAAATCATCACACTATTACAGTTCTTCAGAGTCTCTTTCTTCAATACAGCTATGACAATGGTTTTTGATTATTTTAAAACTTAGCTTCCATATGCAAAACACAACAAATAAACAATACATAGTGCGCTTGTTTAGAACATGTCAGTATTTGAATAGGGTAGATGGCAAAGTTTCAGAATATAAAATATCAGTAATAGCATCAATAATATTTACAGGCCCAAATAAATTTCTGTGAAAAATTATTAAACAAAAGGAAGAAAATCAGGGATATGCCTGTAGCCTGGCTGCAGTGCTAATACAGTTAAGGGCTCTTAATACAGTCAAGGCCTATGAAGATAGGAAAACTGAACGCAGAAAAATGCTTTGCTATTTTAATAGAAAAATAGCACGCCATTGAAATGAACTACTGTTTTCTTCATAAAGTCCTCTTGATCAGTAATATGGCATTTTTCTAGGATATTAATTGGCAATTCAAGATGACAATTCAAAACACTTTTTTCCTCACAATGATTCATAGACATATCTGTGTCACAGATTACTGCAATCTTCCATTTTCTAATTCTGCAGACTTCTATTGCACATTTTTCAATGTCACCAGTCTTTTTCTGCCTGGTTGACTTTATATCTCCCCTTTCAAGTGTTGATAATAAAAAAAAACAAATAGTTGTGAGCAAGTCTTTGTGGCCCTTCCTGTGCAAAATGCTATTTTAAAGTAAGAGATGGTCTTTAGACAATCAAAATTCAAATCAAAATGTGGCATAATTAAAATCAACACGACAAGACAAAGTTTACATGAGCTTTGTACAAATATTGACAGCAAAAGCATGTATTATTGAGCAGTGCCTATAACCAGGGGATTGTATCAAAAGCAAAGATTCCAGCATTGGTGTGTGTGAAACAGCAAGCATTTTACTTTGCCACAGACACAAAATGTGACTACATCTCTACCCAGGTGTCACAGGAGTTACCATAAATAAAAAGAGACTGAAACATTTTGTTGATTAGGATTGGAAATGGTTTTCTGGAAAATGCATGCCTTTTTTGTTGGATTTGACACACATGACAGCACTTTAAGTAAATGAGAGCCATACAATCAATATGTGGTACTCTATTAATTTAATATACTCCTGAACTCAATGCAAGTTTTGCACAATAGCTTCCATTGCAAAGCTGCCTGAAGGCATAAATTATGTTGTTCCCATATATGCTTAGCATACTGTTGGTCTTCTTTCTTGTGCCAGAGTTACTTATAGCTGAACTGTTCAGCCCAAATCAACAATTCACCCATGACTGCTTGGCTCCAGGATCATTCTAAATTTTTTCTGAGCTTTTTGAATCAACAGGTGGAAGAAGGAGAAGACGAGGAAGAGGAAGAAGGGGACTGTTTCCATAGAAGGGATAATGATGGTATTATGACATAATCACACAAATGCTGGGATTTTTATCCACTACAATGCACAAAATTTTATACTTTGGGGAAACATGCAATAAAACAAATTAAATAAAATTTAAAGGCAACATAATGTAAGGTTTCTGACCTCATGTTATATGTATTATGAATAGCCAGGAGAAAAATGATCTCATGAGAATGAATATATATAAACATTTAACTTCTATTTGTTGAGACTATAACCTGGAAAATAACTTGAGCTTGATAAGCTTAAGGAAGCAGGGATGCTTCCTGGCTTGCATTAGAAATGTTTAGAAATCTTTGATAGAAATATAGCACTAAGTTTAGACCCAGCAGAAGATATGGGTCAATCTTTTTATGGAGTCAAATTGTTTCTTGCCCTATATATTTCTAATAGATATTTTTTATATTTTCATGATAAAGTAGCTAGACTTGCAGTTTAGACGCCAGCAATGAGTTGTTCCTGGATGCATGGCACCAAAGAGCTACTAGGCGTCAGGAACAGTTGCGCAGTTACAGGAGGTAATTGCACTCAGCTGGTCATCATTAGGCTCCTCTTCAGACTATAAAAAGACTGCTTGTGCACACGCCCCTCTTGCAGAAGTCAACGCAGGAACGAATGTCAGAGAACATTACTGTGAGCTTGGCAGGCTGGATTGCTGCCAAGCCTTATCTGTGCTTATTGCTGCCCAAGCTTGTCTGTGCCGGTTTGCTGCCAAGGACCTGTCTGTCTGTTAATTAACTTATCTTTGGCTCGGAGTGTGTATTGGTGTGGGATGAGGGGGGTCAGAACAGCCATGTATAATGTAAGCAAGGTATGTTGGAATTATTGTAGACCACAACAAGAACATTTAACATAGATATTTAAAAGCATTTCATGAGAAAATATCAGTTTAGGTGAAAAGTATATTATATTCTGCATGACTGCAAAAATTGAATAAAATATAGAGCACATTCTTTCTTTGCTTCCTGGGTCCTTCAATTAAATATTTATCACCTGAATAGAGCTTCACACTGATTCTAATTAGGTGCACAGAAAGGGCACATTGGACAAATTATATAGCCCCTTGTAATAGATAAACTGAGCAAATGTTAATTGCTTATACTATACAACAAAATATTTTTTTTTATCTTGGCAGTGTTATATGAAGTACAAATAGTATCTTACTGATTTAATGAGAAGAGTTAGAAAGGTGAAAGTTAATGATAAAATGCAAACTACCTTAACATTGTCATATAAATTTAATGCATTGCCTGTGTAAAATATTATAGTTGCTTTTTAATGGTATTTTGGCATACTTGATGAAATTGCCAGTTAATGTTGATCAGATATTACGACATATACTTTTCATTTAATTCCTGTGAATTTGCTATTTTGAAGAAAGCAGGAAGTACCTAGTTAAGTCCAGTCAGAGGAGTAGAGCATAGCAGTTGATGCAATCCTCCCACATATGAATTTTACTGAGTTTTTTTTTTTACATAGTCACTAAATTAAGCTTAAAACTTAAATATTCTCAAATGATTATGAGTGATTTTTCAATATGGGTCTGAAATATTTTGGATACTTTTAAGAAAGAGAATTTAATTTTCTACGCATTTGTTTAATACCACAAAAGAAATGTTCTGTCTAGAATCTGATAGATGCCTAATAGAAGGATTGTTAGTATTTGTTGAGTGACATTCATTTTCTAGGGTATTGTAAGGCTGTAGAGCTTAATTATAGGCGAGCATCTGCTCTCATAAGTTTCCATTCTTTTTCTTTCATCAAGATATCATTACTCCATGCACTAAAATAAAATTACTTTTTTCAAACAGAATGGCTTGATGACTATGGATTTTTTTTTTTAAAAAAAGCTTCTGACTTTTAAGATTTTGGAATGTATTGTCTCATGTGTGTCATTCATCTCTATGAGAATTAAAACTTTACCATACAATTTTATCAGCAGATGAGCATTCTTAAATTTCGTTTGAATGGAACAGATTTTATATTATGAAATGCTTTGCTATATTCAAAGCGACAAAGTGTTTTATTAAGTTAGATTGTAACTTAATTTTAAACTAAGAGAGCAATGTCTTCTGAAAATAGTCATTAAAAGCAGTGCTCTGTAAGGTATATAAGGAAACTTTTAAAAGTAAATAAAAGAAAACATTATACAAAAAAGAATGTGCACATTAGAACTCCAACAGCAACAAGGGTTGCCCATACTGTCTTACTTTATGCTTTTGTCCTAAATGTATCAGATAGTACCTAGGATTGGTATACTAGACTGAGTATACATTTTATGCAAATGAAATCATTGCAAGTAATTTTTGTACACATGCATATCATACATGTAAATCAAAAGCAAATATTTTACATTATAGCATTTAAAACGGAATTACACAGAAATTATTTTTACGTTGGAAACAGCTTTTTAGTTATATGAGTTATTGTTATTTTCAGTAAATATAAATGGGTTTTCTTTGTAATGGTTAATTGTGCTGAGATTGTAGTATGTAGATTTTCAATGGTATTTTGAGGATTGAGGTAAAAATACTCAAATTAGCCTTCTTCCATCTCATTAATAACAGGACTGTAATTTCTTACCATATTATGAAACACATTAATTTTCTGGAAAGTGTAAAAAACTATTTACAAAAAAGGAGGTATCATTATAAGTTGACATTTTTTTCAAATTTTTATCTCCTAGTGTATCATCATAAACAGAAGCTGCACTTCAGATTTTTTAAAATTATTTTTTAGGATAAAAAAGGTAAATTTTCCTGGTAGTTTGATGAAAATGATTGTAATAGTAGTAGCAGCAGCAAAGAAAGTGTATATTCATCTTCTGGATCACATTCCATATAGTATACATAAAAATGTATAAAAGGGAGGATTCTGCAAAGATCCATAAAACAGTGAGTTTATAAATCCTAATAAACCTAATCATCTATTTGTGAGACATATTAAGTAATGGATTAATTCCATTTCTTTTCTTTCGTTTGTCTTATAACATGATGTCAAAGGGTAATTGACTGGATGGAGCTAAAAGAAGACATGGGTGGATCCAGAACCCTCAAACAAGTAAGGATTGCCTTTTATGGCATATTTCTGGCATATTTCTCTCTCTTTTTCTCCCCCCCCCCATTTATCACATTCTTTTCTCTTTCTGCCCATCTTTTCTTTCTCGTCAAAGCATCGAATGGCAGGGTGTGTACAAGTACTTCTTTCCAGAGCTCTGAACGGCTGTCTTGCAGAAAGCTGTTTTATTACTTAATCTACTCTAACATGGAGTGCATCCTTTATTGCTAACCATGCTGGCTAGTATTACAGTATGGAAGATTACAGAGCTGGAGTGGCGCGGTGGTTAAATGCAGCACTGCAGGCTACTTCAGCTGACTGCTAGATCAGCAGTTCAGCGGTTCAAATCTCACCGGCTCAGGGTTGACTCAGCCTTCCATCCTTCCGAGGTGGGTAAAATGAGGACCCAGATTGTTGGGGGCAATATGCTGACTCTCTGTAAACCGCTTAGAGAGGGCTGAAAGCCCTATGACGCGGTATATAAGTCTACTGCTATTATAGCACAGGTATTGGTTCCTCATTGTAGCTATACAACATCAAGTCAATAACCATTTTTGCCATGGCCATCTAAGAGTCTCTTCTCTTTTTAATTCACCAGGTATTTGCATGACAGGTATTGTAGGTATGTAATAAAGAAATACATGAGCAGGGAAACTATTCTGTAGTGTTTTAAAATAAATTGGGAAGTAGTTCTATTTATTGCTGAATTGTTAAAAGAACTACTGTATAATAATACATTAAAGACACCATATGCTTTCTACAATCTAATGAAAAGAAACAAAGAAATTCAAGCATGCTATGATGCCTTGACCAGAATTTGATCAAACTACAATTTTGCTTATAATACTCATAGATCCCTATAGATATAAATTATTGGCATGTAAATTAAATTCAATTATTTAAAGGAACATAGAAGTTCAAGAAGACAACAGTCCAATATCTGACAAGTAAAAGAGAAAAAATGCCAACATATTAATGTATAACTTTATGACATTCTTAACTGTACCTATCACAATAACTTAACCTACTGAAATCTTCTGTCTTCATCCTTTTTCCATGTTGAGTAGTTGAGATGGTACCAAAACAAAGAAACAAACAAATCAAAGAAACCTCCAGACATTGGAGACAAATTGTGTACAAATTGACCCTTGTTGGTAGCCAGTCCCAGACTAATACTTAGGACTTAAATTAACATACCACATAATATTAGAGCATAGAATTTTTTAAACCAATTTAAGTTTGCTTTCACTTGGATAAGGCTGAAGGTATATATGATGGTGCACAGAAATTGCATAGTTACTGCAGTGTAATACAGCTATGACACAAAATGCCACCAAACTGCAAGGCTGGTAATTGTAAAGAACCAAGAACTTGATGCTTGAGTACCCAGATTTCTGTCCCCTTTATAAATGGAAAATGTTTTTATTGTGGTTGTGGATGTGGTGTCCGTCTTTTCCATTATTAGTATGGTTTCATTTCTGACTCCTGATTTCACACTAAAAACATCTGAAAAGAAACACAAAGAAGACAAATATTACTTATTTTGGAAACCATGTCAATTTAAAAAATATATGATTTTAATGATTCCAATAGTTTCACATCTGAAAATAAGACCTGCAGTATAATCTGCTATTTATGTACTCTCAATAATTTAATTCAATTTATAAGTAGGCTCAGGTCTAAGATTGTTAGTAATTTGATAGTAAATTTTATTCAATCCATAATGTATTTCTGTTCAATAAACTGGAGTGTGAAATCCGTACATAAATTGTAGAACAAAACACTCTATCTATCCTGTGAGTCAGAAAAAATAAAAGAATCCGCCATATATTCTATGTCTGATAGATTAGTTTTTAAAGAATTCATACCAATAGTTTAATCTTTGGCTTAATAATAATCTAATTAGCTAAAATTAATGAAACAGTCATGTTGGCATTTGACTTTGTTAACATAATGAGGTGATTTGATTTCACTGAACTCTAATGTAACTGATTGCAGGGTATTTTTACTCAAAAGAATAAAATTAAATAAATATTACCTATTAAAAAATCCGCCCATTGGGCCATTTTTTCATTATTGTTACCCTAAACTTTGGTCCTTTAAACTCCCTAAACCATCAGATTGGGTGCTCTCAACTATTTTTGTGACATCATGTGGTCATCATAGATCATAAGTTGTTAATATTGTTGTTCTTTCAGTGTTGCATTTAGTAACAAATAGCTTTTTAGCTGATTATTGAACATTAAGATGATAAATGATAAGAAAAAAATATATGTTAGCTAATTTAAAACAAATGTATTTTCTAACAAAGCTTGCCAACCTCTTTTCTATCACAGCTTGCCTACCCATCCAGTTTGGGAATATGAGTTTAGTAAGCCATTCATCCTTTTGCCTGAGTCAAGTCTTTGCATCACTAACTATTGTTTGATATGCTGTTAAATCAGATTTCTATGTATCATGAGAAACTGCCAGAGGTTGTAAGCCCTTTGTTTCACTATAGTTTTAGAGTGAAATTCCTCAGTGCTGGAAACATTCAGAAATCATAAAAAAATATTAATACAATATACATGCATCTACAGATGGACGCAGTGGCTCAGTGGCTGAGATGCTGAGTTTGTTGATCAGAAAGGTTGGCAGTTCAGTAGTTTGAATCTAGTGCCGCATAACAGGGTGAGCTCCTGTTATTTGTCCCAGCTTCTGCCAACCTAGCAATTTGAAAGCATAAAAAAATGCAAGTAGAAAAATAGGAGCCACCTTTGGTGGGAAGGTAACAGAATTCCATGTGCCTTTGGCATTTAGTTATGCCAGCCTCATGACCAAGGAGATGCCTTCAGACAGGGCTGGTTCTTTGGCTTATAAATGGAGATGAGCACCGCCTCCTAGAGTCGGGAATGACTAGCACATATGTGCGAGGAGAATTCATGTAGAAAGGGTAAACACAAAAAGCAAAATGGGAAGAGACAATCAAAGAGGGAATCTAAGAACAGAAGGAAAAGTAAAGGAAAAGGGAGAAAAGTAAAAAAAGTTTGAATGATGGAAATGAGGTGAGCAGAAGAAATCTAAGACAAACTGGACAACAGAAAGCAAGCCTTCTTGCTCAGAAAAGCAAAATAGGGTAAGGGCATGAAAAGAAATGAAAGGGGCAGCCTTGGAGATGGTTGGATGATAAAGGAGGCAGGAATGGGAGGGGAACCAGATTTTGTTCTTTAGCCTTGAGAGATGTCTAAATAGACCCATGTTGACAATATATTTACAATGGTTTTGAAAAATGTATGGGGATGAAGAGAGAAAGAACAATGTTTTGCCTTTGTGATCTAAACTGAAAGGACTGCTATGGCCCTCTTATGTCTTTAAAGAATAATGTTTCAATTAGCTTTCTTTGGAGATGTTTTTCTCAGCTGCTGCCTTACTTCCATGAAATAGCATTCTCTGATATCTGAATGGCTCCTCCTAGACTGGGTTTCCATGAGCCCATTAAAACATGATTATTTCAGTAGGCCTTGGGGTTAGAAAGTTGTGAGCTTGTCTGTCTAATAATGGAAGGTATCTGGGTTGATTCAATTGATTAATATGATTTATAATGCCAGTGTTATTTTGATATTTATTTTACTATATAGTTTTAACCTGACTTATGGAAGAGAGATGTATGCTACCTGCAGTTGTTTGTAATTATAACTGACTAGAAAGTCAATAAAACAAATATTTTAAATTCTTAAAACAACAAAAATATGATGTAGCAGAAATATAGAACACATCAGTAGAATTAAAACAGAGGTCTCAGTGAACAAATACATTTTAAATTTATGATAATATTTAACCCATCTTCTCTGAGATAGTTGCATGAGCTAATTTTTGTTTACCATAATAAGAGTCAGTAGATCTGAGCCATCTAACATATATATAAGGGAGAAAATATTCCACCAAGTATTCATATCTTAAACTATGGCTGGCTTTCTATACCATGGCAAACATTGTGAATTTGATCGCTTGATATGAAAGAAGCCAATAGAATAATATCAATGTAAACTCTTGCTAGATTGTCCAATTTCCCAGTCCAGCATTTTCTCATTAGCAAACCTCAAAGTGAGATGATCTGGAGTACATCACTAAATTCTACTGTTGAGATTACTAGTGCATGAATTACTGCTACCAGTGCAACTCATCTAATTGCAGCAAAGTTGTGTAAGCCAGGAAAGTTTAAAATGTTACAATGCTAAACAGTTAATTGGAGGATGAAAAAAAAACCCTAAAGGTTTACCCCCATGAGACATTGTCTCACTTGGGGAGAAGGACAGGTATGGATATATGGCTGATAGCAGAAAAATCTAGAAATTTCCCCCATGAAGAGGTGATCCATTGAATTCAGTTAAGTGAATCATGGTTTGAAGAGCAAAGAGAAAAAAGCAAAGAGAAATAATTTGCATGTCTAGCTCAGAAAGAGGGAAAGAGAATGTTGCATGCAAAGACAGAGTGAACATATTTTCCAAGGAATTCAGTGGGAATGTAGAGTGGAATTTAAAGAAATATATATAGTGTGGTCATTAAGAAGACTCTTCAGGAATGTGTGCAAGAAAAGAGAAGTTATGTATTCTTTGTGGCTCCTGAAAAACATATCTATGGCTCCCACTCTGAAGATATCCCGTTTCTCCAAGAACAATAGGCAGCTCCACTTCTACCCAAAATAAAATTGAAACACTCAAGACTTTTTACAGCTTCTCTGACAATTATCACTTAATTATGTTTCTCATAGTAGTTAAAGATCATGTCTGGATTTCTATAAGAAATGTCCCTTCCTCATGCCTATCTGAGAAGCTAGATTCCCTCTGACATGCCAATCTTGTAGCTTTTCAGCCGCACAAAGGATGCACTGTGTTTTCCACCATTTCTTTCTGGTGGAAAAATGCACTCTTGCTCTTTATGCAACATTGTTCTGTCACCTCCTCCTATTTCAGGGGGAAATGGGGAAGATTTGAGGTTGAGTACATTCTAGACACTCTGAAAGCTTAAATATTAGATTCATTTGAAAGACCATCTGGATACATAATGTTCTTAGGGATTCTTCAAGGTAATACACATATCCTTCTCCTTTGATCATTCAATTTGCATTTTGCTTCCAAACCAACACTTTTGAACCAGCTGTTCAAGGAAGTTTTAGCACTTGTCAGTCGTTTTGGATGCTGTGAAGGGAAGGTGGGGCAAGAGGAAATTACATGAGTGAAGAGAGACTGTATCACACAAAAAAGAGGACAGTTCTGAAAAGATGGAGATTGCTGCTGAGTGAGGAAGGAAGGAAAGAGTAGAGTAGAGAAGAGTGGAGTAGAATATAATAGAATTCTTTATTGGCCAAGTGTGATTGGACACACAAGGAATTTGTCTTTGGTGCATATGCTCTCAGTGTACATAAAGAAAAATAAAATAGAATACATTAATCAAGAATCATAATACAACACTTAATGATAGTCATAGGTTCCTAATAAGCAATCAAATCATACTAGGAAACAATAAAACAATATACATTGTAACTATACATGCAACATGGTAAGTAAGTAAGTAAGTAAGGAAGGAAGGAAGGAAGGAAGGAAGGAAGGAAGGAAGGAAGGAAGGAAGGAAGGAAGGAAGGAAGTAAAGAATGAAGGAGAAAAAACACAACCTCCACTGCCAGGAATTTTAGACATTGTGTACAATTCAGAAATAGAGTAAATCTATATTGCTGTCAATATCTCTGTTGCTGGACGGTCCTTTTGGACCTAAACCGTCCCAAAGAGATGGTGATAGAGAAGGGCACGTCCTGCTCAGTGGTGGGTTTCAAAAATTGTTCGAACCTACTCTGTGGGTGTGGCCTACTTTGTGGGAGTGGCTTGTCACCCATGTGATCAGATATGAAATTATGAATTAGTACTTAGGTTGGTCCAAGTAGCTATTCAGAAACTTTGTCCAGGTTTGCCGGGTACACCAGATGCGGCCCTATTTGGACCAAGAGGCACTGCAAACAGTCACTCACGCCCTCTTCACCTCAAGACTTGATTACTGTAATGCGCTCTACATGGGGCTGCCCCTGAAAAGTGTTCAGAAACTACAATTAGTCCAGAATGCAGCCGCGCGAACGATACTGGGTGTACCAAGGTACACCCACACTACACCTATCCTCCGAGAGCTGCACTGGCTCCCTATCAGTCTCCAAGCACGACTCAAGATGCCGGTTATTACCTTTAAAGCCCTACATGGCCTAGGACCCGTATATCTGCGAGTCTTCTGCCGCACACCACCCAACGACCAATAAGATCGCATAGGGTGGGCCTTCTCCAAGTGCCATCAGCCAGACAATATTGGCTGGCGGCACCTCGGGGGAGGGCCTTCTCTGTAGCCGCTCTGACCATATGGAATGAACTACCCCCAGAGATCTGGACCCTACCCTACCCACTCTCATGGCCTTCCGAAAGGCTATCAAAACCTGGCTATTCTGGCAGGCCTGGGGCTGTTGACCTCTCGACCTCTCGACCGAGGTC